TATGAATGTCCTTTATTGAGACAGATTGTAATATTTATCAATAATAATAATAATAATAATAATAATAATAAGGCTTAGCGAACCCGAAGGTTCGATGCCGACACCACCAATCGCTTGTTACACACCTCCCTCCACCGTTCGCCGTCCAAACCCAGTCCCTTCAGATCAGCTTTAATGCAATCTTCCCACCTTCGCTTCGGTCTACCCCTCGACGCTTACCATTCGGCACAGCAAATATTAACCTTTTAGGAATTCTCTCGTTACTAAGCCCAACAACTTTACAAGCCCATTTGATTCGCCGCGATGAAATTACCTCAATTATATTACCGGATATAGCTCACGCAATTCGGCGTTGTGTAACCGTCTGAACTCTCCGGTTAACTCATCCTTCTTCGGTCCGAATATTCTACGCAATACTTTATTTTCAAAAACCTTAAGACGCTGCTCATCCCTTAATGTAAGCGGCCAAGTTTCGCATCCATAAAGAACTGTAGGCAAGATAATTGTTTTATAGATTCTAATTTTTAAGTTTCGGGACAAGAGGCGCGAACTGAGTAGTTTTGTCACAGAAAAATAACAAGCATTCCCCGCCTTCAGTCTAACCTTAATCTCTTCTTCAATTTCGTTTTTTCTAGTTATCGTAGAACCTAGATACCTAAATTTATCTACCTGTTCAAACATATTACCATCTATATCGATATCACCAGTAGTATCGCCATTTTTGCAGCTAACCATATATTTTGTTTTATCCACGTTTATTTCGAGTCCTAGTTCTTTACCGGCTTTCATTAACGTTGTCGTATTTAGTTTTATAGTTTCAACGTCTTCGCTTAACAGTACCAGATCATCAGCATAGCCCAGCACGGATGTTGTCCCGCCCAGATCCAACCCTTTCTCGGTCGCATTACCTCCCTAATGGCATGTTCTAATGCCAAATTGAACAGGACAGGCGAAAGAGAATCCCCCTGTTTTAAGCCCGAACGAACCTCAAATTTTTCGGACAAATTATTACCGATTCTAACTTTATTGAGTGTCTCCGTCAAGCACATCCTGACTAGATTTACTAGTTTTTTTGGAATCCCCTGCTCGATTAGAATATTATACAGTTTCTGGCGGTCAATAGAATCGTAAGCCTTTTTAAAATCTATATACAGCTGGTGAACAATACCGTTATACTCCAATTTTTTCTCTAATATTTGCCGTAAAGAAAATATTTGATCAATAGTCGAACGATTCCGTCTAAATCCGCATTGGTAGTCTCCGATAATTTCCTCGGCGTATTCCGTGATTCGACTGGTTAAGATTAAGTGAATATTTTATAACATACCGGAAGGAGTGAAATTCCTCGATAGTTATTACAATCCGTCCTCGGACCCTTTTTGTGAATCGGAATAAGAATAGATTCTTTCCATTCTTCAGGTAATTTCTCGTTCACCCAGATCTTTTAACCAACCGATGTATTTTAGAAACTCCAGCTTCCCCGCATGCCTTAATTAGTTCAGTAGGAATATTATCGATTCCCGCTGCTTTATATGATTTTAATTTTCCGATAGCTACTTCAACTTCCTCTTTACTTGGTCCTTCTATTAACGGTTCAGCACTCTGGTACTCAGAAGGAGGACACAGATCATAATTTCCCGTATTTAAAATATTGTCAAAGTGGTCCTTAAACTTATTCAATATGTCAACCGGATCGGTCAGAATATTGTTATTATCATCCCTAATTCCAGACGTTACGGGCCCTACATATTTACGTGATCTGTTTATACCTTTGTACATGTCTCTTACGTTATTTTCGATTCTATTAGTTTCTATTTCAATTATTTTATTTTTAAGATACTCCCTTTTTTTATTTTTGAGCAATTTTGTCGTTTCGTTCTTTGAGATTCGGAAGTATTCCAGATTGTCTTCGCTAGGATTATTTAGAGCTTTTAATTTAGCGGCTTTCTTTTTTCACACATGTTTAAGCAATCTTCATCAAACCACGGTTTGTTATTCTTATTTTCCTTTTTTCCTAGACACGAGTTACCGACCGCTTTAATATTATCCCTGATCTCTATCCATAACTTGTCAATATCCTCGTGGTCCTCGTCAGGAAGCTCTAAAGCTTCAAACCTATTCTTAACATCTAGCTCGAATTGGTTTCTAATTGATGGATTTTTTAATTTTTCCAAATTAAAATTCTCAAAATCGAAACGGTTTTCTTTTCTCTTTTTTATATTAAGTTTTTGTCGAAGTTTCGCGATTACTAATTCATGATCCGACCCACATTCTGCTCCGCGATAAGACCGTACATTGATTATACTGCTTTGCCAGCTGTGTTGTATCAAGACATGATCGATTTGATTTCGTGTTTGCGAATCCGGTGATGTCCAAGTATATTTATGAATATCCTTATTTTAAACGTCGTACTTTTAATTATCAGGTTTTTCGAGATGGCAAAGTTTATCAGACGGATCCCATTATCATTACTATATTCGTGCAAACTTTCTTTACCAATCGTGAATATAAACTTCTTCCCTTCCTACCTTTGCGTTCGCGTCACCTACAATTATTTTCATGTAGTTTCGCGGTAGTTTATCATAAACCCATTCGAGTTTATCGTAAAATTCACTTTTGACTTCATCGTCACTGTCTTCGGTCGGACAATGTATGTTTATTAATGCGATTTTAAACCAACGTCCCTGAAATGTAGCTACCGAAATTCTATCACTAAAGAATTGTACGTCCCTCAAAGCGGATAGTAATCTACTCCTAATTAGAAACCCGGTACCTAAACAATGATTCCCGCTTCCTCCGTACCAAATAGTGTACTTTCCTTCCCTCATCGAGCCCTCCCCTGGCCAGCGAACCTCTTGCAGAGCCACGACATCCAAATTGTACCCATTTACCTCATTCGCGACCGATTTTAGCCCCCCTGCTGTGTTTAAACTCCTTACGTTCCACGTACCAATATTTAAATCCCTATATTTCAACTTGCGCATGAATCCCCTAAAGCAGTCCCCACCCGGAGACCCGAACGGGGGACTAGTTTACCTCCGGATAATGAGCGTTTTACCTTAGGGAGATCCATGACTTTTTGTGGTGTTTGGTGAACTAAAGATATGTGAGTAGGGCGTTCAATCCTACGTCACACCCTCCAGCAAGTCTGGTGGGCCCCTACCTCCAGCAAGTCTGGAGGTCCCCTCCCTCCAGCAAGTCTGGAGGGCCCCTCTCATTGTTGGTCAGCGAGTCCATCGGACTTAGCCGGGAGGAACTTCCAAGGAATTTCCACCGACCATCCCCACATCCGCCACCCGTGGGACGCTCCCCATACGCGGTAATGAGCCCGCGCGAGGAATATTTATCAATAAACAAAAAAAAAAAAGGACTAACTTCAGTCAAATACATGATTTATCACAATATGTTCTCTTTTCTAAATTATCTTACCTACCAATTGTTACTGTCAGGGGTGCCCAGATGATGGTTTCATCACGCGACTTGCCATATTTTGACGATTTTTTTAATTTTTGAAGGGGGCAAATTTTAACGGTGTTAAGAATATTCGGAAAAACATGGAACATACGACAGCAAGTGTAATTCTATATGATCTATGTTTTTCTAATTCTACCTTACCTTGCCCTGTTTTTAAGAAAAGATATGCAATAAAATATCTTGGAAGGAGGGGAAAGTGTAGGTTCTGCGCCATTAACTTTGGAGGAGGGAACAAAAACCCCTGGTTCCTGTAATTCCCCAAATTTCTCTTCGAAATTTGGACGATAACCACAAAAATTGTGATAAATTCATCATGTCTCAACCGATTCTCAGGAAAATTATTAGGTATATGTGGCCATATATGCTACACCAAATGGTACAACCTCGACCTCCGTAAACAAATTAGAACCAAAGATATAAAATAAAAATATTTGAGAAGTTTATCTAACTTTCTAGCTTGAATGAAATCGGAAACTTATTGCTTTCCTTTATAAACAGCTTCCTTTTCCTTTTCCTTTAATTCAGTTTCCCAACAGCTGTAATGACATGGAGTTTGGAGAAGAACTTGAGAAGTTATGACTGCTTTATGAACGACCTGAAGAAAAATTCTCCATGAAAATCAATTAATAAAATTAGAAATATTTGATTTCAATAAAAAATTAAAAATAATAATAAAAAAATTAAAACAAAAACGAATCTAACAATCGTTTTCTTATCCAAAATTTACTTGGCATAATTTACTGAAAGCGCCTTTTGGTTTTTGTCAATAAGGAATCTTTATAACTGGTTTAATAACGATGGTTTGTGAGTTAAGTAATTTTGCATCCGAACGCTACCTAGCGGTAGGTTGCGAAAACAGAGATAAACGGCAGATGCTTACCCGAGAACTAAGTTCGATCTCACTCCTTGCCAAGAACTCCAAAAGACTGGACTGGAGGGGAGCCAAAGCCAAGTAAGATTTGGCTTATCTTAGCAGAAAGGGTGGGTTACTTCTTTTAAAATGCATAACCTACTAATGGCAAAAAAAAAAAACCACAGTACACTGCTTAATTATTGCGTACGTTGCCTGTGTTGAACTTATTACATTTACCATGATTTACCTTTCCCCCCTAAAAGTCGGTATTTGGCTAAAAAATGCAGTCATTATTTTTTTCTTATTTTGCACAAGAAAACATATCTATCTAACAATCTAAGAAACCGATCAAAACAAAGTTAAAAATAAATAACATAAATTTTTGTTTGAAATTATATAAAATATTTCTTTTATCGGCTCCTAGAGCGCATTGGCAAACTCCAGGCATAGGTTTAGTATTTATATTTAATAATTATTCACTACATTCAACCATAAATCAACAATTAAGTATATTTTTTACGGAGACGAATTTTTAAGAATTTTTGTTGTAGTGAATTTCGACCTTATTTATCTATGAAAAACTCATTAGTGCATATATGTATGTATGTTTAGATACACAACAAATATAGTAGGATTATATGTTTATGATTCCATCTCCTCTGTTTTATTTCAGGTTTTGAAAAGCAGTAATGAGATTGAAGGAGAAATTCGAAAGGTGTCTCCTCCGGACCCTAAATTTGGAGGGTAAGACATTAACGACTTGGGACGTAAACAAAGCTAACTTTACTGGCCCTTCCTAGGAGCCCTATATCTCCGCCCAGCACGCCTTCCAAATACCCAGCGAGGATTTTCCTGACGGGCTTAAATATAAATCCTCAGCCGATACCGTCTGCATTAATTCCTTCCATTTTCTCCAGCTCCGAATTTATTAAGATTCTAAATAACCTTAAGTCCTTGGATAATTTGTATTCATTTATCAAGGACCAGTTTCTCGTCAATGACGTCTTGTTGCTTCGCCTTTATAACAATTTTCCAGGGCATGAAATCGATAATTATTTTTTTCACAAAATAATGTAATAAATATTATATTTAAAATTAAATATCATATATTAAGTACAATTAAAGGAAGCTTATGATGAGGCAGGTCTCAGGATTAACTTCCAAAAGACTGAATATATGGCACTGGGAGATGAGGAAGACGACCTACGCATAGGTGAACAGGTATGTAGAAAAGTAAAGGCATTTAAATACCTCGGGTCCTATCTAGACGATGTTGGAACGTCCGAAGTGGATGTCCGAAACAAGGTAGAGATGGCAAGAAAAGCTACTAGAATGCTGCATCCTGTTCTCTGGAACGATACTATTTCAAACGCGAACAAGCGGCATATCTTCACGGCTATTGTTGAGTCCATATTAACCTACGGATGTGAGGCATGGTCGATGAATGCTGGCTTGTATGCCAAAATTCGGACTGTAGAAATGGATTTCTGGAGAAGGTGTCTACAGTTAACGAGGCTGGACAGAGTCCGAAATGAAGTGGTGAGACAGAGAATAGGTGTAGAGGAGACCGTCTCTGAGAGGATCGGGAAACGGCGATTGAAGTGGTATGGACACTGCAGGAGAATGTCGGAAGAACATTGGCCGAACAGAGTCCTTGACTGGCAGCCACCCGGAAAGCGTAGGCGAGGACGACCGAGAACCACGTACATGGAAGGAGTCCGAGAAGAGATGGCCGGCCGAGGTCTACAGGAGGGTGACTGGGAGGATAGAGATGTGTGGAGCTCTACTCTGACCTGAAGAGGTATCCCACGTTGGAACACCGGATGAAAAAAAAAAGAAAGAAAAAGTTTAAAATCATGCCTGATTTATAAATACAAATTTAAATCGATATTTGATGTTATCGATTCGATTCAAAGTAATATTCACTCACTGAGCGATACAGATTTTGAATTGAAAAAAAAAATTGATCAGAAAATAAAAATCACATTTTTATTTAAACACAAATTACATTAAATATTAGTATGTAAATCTACATGATAAATGTATACATTTTTAATATTATATTTCTAAAATAGCTTTAATTAAAAACTAATTAATAGCTATTAATAGCTTTTATATATATGTATATGTGTATATATATATATATATATATATATATATATATATATATATATATATATATATATATTACAAATGTATGTTAAATTACATTTTAAAAAACTATGACTCAAGAATTATTATTATTCTTAATTGTTAAAATTTTGTTAAAAAATAATGATCAGAGTATAATTTGTAGCATTCATGATCAAAAATAAAAACCACTCCTAATAAAAATCATCATATAATTTTTTAAATTGTAGTCAGATTTTAATTTAATTTAATTTATATATATATATATATATATATATATATATATATATATATATACAAATGAATATTTTTATTTCTTTACACTGATTTGCCAAAATACATATTATATATTATATATATATATATATATATATATATATATATATATATATATACATACATACATATTCGGTTGCTTGGATCCTTGATGAATCTTGAACGTAATAGGTTTGTTCCAAAATGAATTCTGACTCTGTTTCAAGCACATGCGCCGTACAGATGTCTCGTTCCAAATCCATTTATGTGCATGGTCTTGAAACCGAAAAATTATACTCCTTTCGAGGATGGTAGTTTTCTGATAGTCATACCTCGTTGGAACAAATATATCAATTAAATTTCGAGGATGAGGGTGGACAACGCCCTGTCTCTCCCATAACCTTTTCAATCTTCTGATGTATTCGAGAATTCATACTCTTGAAAAGTTTCTCATAGGGGTAAGTTTATCAGTGTAATGAGTTATTAAATTATTCTCCGATTTCACATATTATTAAAATGTGTATCATGTGAAACTGATGTATTAAGTTCAATTTTTAAAATATCGTCGTCAAGCAAATTTAAGACCGTTTCCAGCACAAAGCAGGAGGTTTTGGCCTGCAAAGACACAAATTCATTAATTAAATTATTCATTATAGTTACTTATTTGCACTAATTAGTCATCTATCTCAATATAACATAGAACTATACACACAATATCCCGAATAAGCAGCAGTATTTGTTATGATGGCAGCAATTACTCCATAGGGGGCAGCACTTATGATGATGCCCACAATTCTTCAATACTGAAAACATTTCAAGCAAGTACACTGTCACAAAACTTTGGTAAAAGTACATAAGTCAATATATATATATATATATATATATATATATATATATATATATATATTGTATTACATTATATATATTGTATATTGTATTATTAAATGTTAAAATTAACATTTCCTCATTAGGGGTATTCACTTGGCTTGTGATAAATGTTTAATGCGTTAGGATGCTAAATAGTTACCATAAATATTGAGTGGACGACTTATGCTATCCTGTGTTATTAGTAAATTGATATTAAACTTGCGACAAAAAAATTAGACTTCACAGGTTGATTTTGACTTTTAAGGACTCGTTGTTAATTTGAACTCTATTTAATACATTAGGTGTGATGATCATAAATATATCAGGAAACCATATACAGGAATCAGGAAAAAAAAATAATCAACTTCATCATGTAAATTACTATCCTCTTTTCCTCAACGTTTAACCGATTCCTATCGCATCTTTTCTTGCATTTCATTCCACTTAAATGAAAAGTAGTAAATAGAAGATGAAAACCTTATAATAAATTTTAACAGACCGCAGACCATGCTAAAATTGGGTGTACTAATGGCAATATTAAACACGCTACATTGAAGAAAGTTATCCACTTTAGCTCATTTAAAAGATTGACAATACTTAACAACGGTTGCATGAATTCCTATTCTTGTTATACAATGTTAAAATGTTGAGTGAAGGACTATAAATAAAAACCAAGTATGAGGTAGAAATAAAGAAAATATTTGTTTAGCAATAACAGAGTGGTAGCTATAGGTTTTTTTTTTAACTTTATTTTTCAACTGACATCTGTTGGGAATAGCAACAATCAGCGAATGTGCTGCGGGGAAGAAGTGGATGGAGTAAGATGTTGGCAGGACAAGGAATGCACCGCGGCGTCCCTTCCTAACTTCATTTTATATTTATAGTTAGTAAACGAGATATCTCATCCTGCTTCTTTTGAGCCTTCTACCAGTGCTATCAGGCATGTTAGTTGTGACCATGCATTGAATCATTGAGTTGGTGTGTCCGTGTTAGTTATTTAAAATATTTTGTAGTATGATCGTACGTGATCGCTTATTGTTGGCATCGGTAAGTCTTTAGGTAAAAAAAAAAAACCTCTACCACTACAACCCATGAAGGGTCTGGGGTTCAGTACTATTTAGGGAAAGCACTGTTCCTAGGTCAACGGTTATACAAGGAGGAGATTTGACCGAGATCACACTCAACCGCCAGGTTTTCCCCCTTAATTAATTATTTAATTAAAGGTACCCACTTTATAGAGGCTAGGTGTGCCACAGGAGGGTATCCTGACCCAGGGTCGCCCCACGGCCAATGAAACAGATAAATAAATTTTCTGTCATGAGCCGTGGTTTGAACCTTTGCATTGGAAGCTCAGTGCCCTACCACTGAGCTACCCCACTCTCCTCTTTTGGTAAAGTATTGTTAATAACGTACCAGGGAGCTTTGGTTATAGTCCTGAAAGTTTTTTTATTGAAAAGTATATAGTTTACGTATGTGAGTCTTTTTGGCTGTCTCGAATATCTGTGAGGCATAGGTCCAAGTGGGCTTAAGTAAGTTAGTGAATGTATTCAATTTCTGACTAAGTTTTAATTTCGAACATCATGAAAGGAGTGAATATACCAGTTTTAAGTTTAGGTTTTTTTTGTTCTTGATTTGTGGGCCCCATGTCATTATTCTGTCGAATGTCAGTCCTAAATATTTAAAAACAATATTTTAAATTTATTCATCTTAATTAAATAATATTTCTCGAATAATATGGTACTTATAATGTGACATCGGAGATATATGAGTACTAAAATATCATGTCTTACGTTACAAATGGAGGTTACGATGGGTGGAACATGCAACTCGAAGGAATCCTATAAACTATCTGGCAAACTGTCTACAACAATGAATACTACGATATTTGGCAAGAGGCCATTTGAACCATCTTATACGTTCAATATTGGATTATAAAACAAACCACAAACAACATTGGTAAATTGTAGGTAAATTTATCTTGTTTATTTAACTTTTCTTCCAAAAAGTGATGGTATCATTTCATTTCATTGTTGAGATGGTCCAAAACTGTAAATTGATTGAATAAAAAAATTGTGATCTCTTAATTGTGCGTTTAAACTGCTACTTGTGACAGCAATGTCATCAGCAAATGCTGTTATGGTTACATTGTGGTACTTACAATTATTCCTGTGCAAATAAAGAACACTACATCACCCTCTGGAACCCCAAACGTTACACACACACACACACATATATATATATGTGTCATCCCTCAGAGTTGCATGAAGCGTTTGCCAAAATTCAAGAAGACTTGAATCGGATCAGTGCCTGGGCAAACTTAAATGGGTTAAGGTTAAACGCTGCAAAAACTCAAGCCATTGTCATTGGTTCCAAACCCCTTCTCAGAGCCAATACCAACATACCTATACTGTAACTAAATGACCATCCCATTACCTTCACCTCCTCAGTAAAAAACCTAGGCATTTTCATAGACCAAACCCTATCCTGGAAACACCATATTGCTCACATTACCCGACAGTCAATTGGTACCTTGAAACTATTCCATCGCTTCCGCCATCTCCACACGTAGACTCCTAGTAACTTCCCTCATCTTCCCCCACCTTGATTACGGCTGCGTGGTGTACTGTGGCCTCTCGGCAGAACTCGGGGAGAGACTGAAAAGAATTATGAATGCCTTCGTAAGATTTGTCACAGGGGCCCTGAGGTATTCCCGTGTTTCGCACCACTATGCTGAATTAGGATGGCTCTTCCCTTCCTTCCGAAGACAATATTTCCTAGGCACATTCCTTTACCAAATAATCAATAGTCATCGTCTGTCCTACGCATACAATCTCCTACAATTCAAATCATCTATCCACACCCTCTCCACAAGATCTCGTCCTTCTGACCTTTACACTCCTTTCCACAGATCTGCATCATTTAAACATTCCTTCGTTGTCCGTTCCACTGCATTCTGGAATTCCATCCCACTAAAAATCCGCCATGCATCATCCTTATCTTAAAACCCTCTTATTCCAATTCCTCTTCACAATCCAATCAGACGCTGGTTAAATACATACTACGTTATAAGGATTTAATTTTCTTTAGACATTATTTTTTTTCTCTTATTTTTTATTGTTTTATTCTGTGTTGAACGTGAATTTTCATCACCACTCACTAAGCATTGTGAGTAGATAAAATTTGTTTTCCTTAAGTTCTAATTTGTTATTCATGGAATGTATTTCAGTGAAACGTATTTTATTTCTAATTATCTTCAACATACTTCTCGCTATGTGTATATATATACTTTATTTTATTTTCTCTTCTCCTAATCTATACGCATAATCACTTAAATATCTTAGGGATCATATGTATATCATTTGTTTTTTTATATATTTTTTTGTTTTAGTTTTTACAATTTCTTTCCCTACATATTAACAGTTATTATTATTTTTTTAAATTTTTATATTCCATCACTACAATGCTTTACCTATAAAATAGATTTTACTTTCCTTTATAATTTCATTCAGTGATTATTATGCAATTATTTTAGCTCCAATATTGTAGTACTGAACCCCTATTACCCAACTGTCCTCGTTAATTTATCCTAAGAGCTTAATTAATACTTAATGTATTACATGTATTTTGTCATTATTCATTGTAATAAGTCTTTTGACCAGATTTGTAGTTAATATATATGAACAATACTGTTATTCTAAAGGGACCTAGTCCCAGAATAAAGATGATTTTTCTATTTCTATTTCTATATATATATATATATATATATATATATATATATATATATATATATATATATATATATATATATATATATAATATATATATATATATATATACGTGCTTAAGATTTGTCTTCGGTACATCGAGGCGGTCTCATTTTTCCCACCTTTACGACGAGTTAAAGTGGGTTTTACCTTCTTTCCGCAGACAATATTTCCTTGGATCTTTCCTATTCCAAACGATCAACACCCGACACCCTTCCTACATCTACAGTCTCCTACAGTTTAAACCCGTGGTCCACTCCCAGAAAACTAGATCCCGTGTTTCCGACATTTATATCCCTTCCACAATCCACCGCAGTCGTAATCAAAACCTTCTCCTTTCCTATTACCGTTGCATCAGCGTATTGCCCTCCAAACCAATCCATCTCCAATATCCAATTTAGTTCCTTCCTCATTTCCTTAGGACATCATTTCATCTTGGGTGCAGACTTAAACGCCAAACATCAACAATGGGGTTCAAGAACCACGAATTCTCGTGGTCGAACATTGCTGTCTGTACTCAATTCCCAAAATTTTACCCTTCTTCCACCCAACTCACCTACCTACTGGCCCACTGATCCTAACCGTAATCCCGATATCCTCGATTTCTTTATCCATAATGGTTTAGGTGCTCTCAACCATTCCGTTGCCCGTCTTGACGAGCTTTCCTCAGACCACAGCCCATTAATACTCCAAGTATCACTAGCTCCTATTCCTAAACCCTCTCCTCCGTCCTTCATCAGAGGCCCAGTTAACTGGAAACTCTTTCATCAAATCCTCTCCGATAAAATTGACCTCAGAGAAACCCTGAAAACCTATGAAGACCTGGACAATGCAGTACATTCCTTCACTACCAAAATTCAAGAAGCAGTCTGGACTGCTTCCTCCCCTGATCACTCCTCAAAAATCCTTAAGAAACATAATTTACCTCAACACCTCCTTGACCTAATCCACATAAAACGCCGTGCCAGATTATTATGGCAACGTACCAGACATCCAGCCGACCGCCACTCCTACAATTATCACTGTAAAAAATTAAAAAAAGAATTAGCCACCTTCAGATCCGAATCATTCAATTCCTACCTCACCACACTCTCTGCTCATGATAATTCCCTTTGGAATATCACCAGAAAAATCCTCAAATCCCATCATATTTCCCACCCTCTTCGACGAGATGATGGCTCCTGGGCAGCATCTGATGAAGATAAAGCCGAGGAATTTGCCAAACACCTTTCCTATACTTTCGCTCCTCATCCAGAATCCCATCCCAGCCACACAGTAAAAGTAGAAGAATCCCTCTCAATACCTATCCCACTCTCCTTACCACCTAAAGCTGTTAATCCCTCTGAGGTCAAATACCTTTTACGGAAAATCACACCTCGCAAATCTCCTGGATATGACCTTCTAACCCCACAGATCCTTCGACAACTTCCATCTAAAGCCATCACATTTCTTACATATATATACAATTGCATCCTACGAACTACCCACTTCCCTCTTTTATGGAAACATTCCACCATCGTCCTCTTCTTGAAACCAGGCAAACCTTCCAACAATACAGCATCCTATAGACCAATTAGCCTACTCCCAATCCTCTCAAAAATTTTTGAAAAGATCCTACTGAAACGAATCCTACCTATAATTGAATCCTATAACCTTCCTACTCATCAATTCGGATTTCGTTCCCAACATTCCACTGTCCAGCAAGGACTCCGAGTTGTTGACCATATATCCTCAACCCTAGAAAGCAAGCAGTATTGCTCGGGTGCATTTCTGGACATAGCGCAAGCTTTTGACCGGGTATGGCACGCCGGATTACTCTTCAAGCTTAAAATCCATCTACCACAGTCCTTATACCTAGTACTCCGATCCTATCTTTCCGACCGCTCCTTCCGAGTTCGCTGTGGCACCGAATTCTCCGACTGTTACTCAATTGAGGCTGGCGTTCCTCAAGGCAGCGTCTTGGGCCCCATCCTTTACATTCTCTTTACCGCTGATATTCCTGTCCATCCCGATACCCTCCTGGCAACTTTCGCTGATGACACTGCTATCCTTTCTTCCAACTCAGATCCTGAAACAGCGTCCGCAAACTTACAAAGGCACCTCTTCCTGATTGAACACTGGTGTAAGAAATGGCGCATTAAGGTAAACGAATCTAAATGTAAACACATTACCTTCACCCTTCGGCGTAATACCTGCCCACCAGTTTATTTTAACTCCATCCAGCTTCCTTTCTCAGATACAGTCCGGTATCTTGGCTTTCTTTTAGACAGACGACTAACATGGAATCCACATACTCGACTTAAAAGACAGGAACTTAACAGACGATATGGCCAGCTATATAGACTACTGAATAGAAAATCTAAACTTTCTGGTGAAAACAAATTACTGATCTACAAGACAATACTGAAACCCATCTGGACTTACGGACTAGAACTATGGGGAACAGCCAAATTTTCTAACATCAAACGCATTCAATCCTTTCAGTCTAAAGTCCTCCGTACAATAGTCAATGCTCCCTTCTATGTAACCAATAAAACCCTACATCATGACCTTAATATCCCATTTATTCTTGATCTTATCCCAGCCAAATTTTCCAAATTTCACCAGAACCTTTCTCATCACCCAAATCCCGTTGTACAATCCCTATCAAGCACCACCCATCCCTACAATCCCCTTCGTAGGTTAAAGCGGCAGTGGCCACGAGACCTTTTGTAAATATGGATATTTTGGAGTTCTAGCAATGGCCAGATTCTCCACTCAAGTCATGAGTGTCTGTGGCTGTAGCGCTCTTACTCATCCTCCGCTGGTTTAAAATACCAGTGAAGTGGCTGAGGGAGAAGCGTAGGGATCTCCTAGGCCTCCCTTTTCCCTCCACATGTGGAGGGGACAGGATTGGTTCGGAGATCACCTGGCAAATTGTAAATAATGTATGTTTTATATAAGGTGTTTGTTTTACTTTTATTTCTATTTTTATTTACTTATGTGTATTATATTATTTTTTTTCTTTACTCTTTTGTTCTTTCTTCTTATTCTTTTGTTATTACTTTATTTATTTATATTTTTGTATATACGGTATGAATGCAATCTCTGAACTCTATTATAAGTGTCCTTAACTGTGACAAATTGTAATATTTCTGAATAAAGTGTTTTTTTAATAAAAAAATATATCCCTTCCATAGAACTAAGACATTTGAATATTCCTTTATTGCCCGATCCACTGCATTCTGGAATTCCTTGCCTTCTGAAATTACCAATCTTTACCAATTCCTTCTCACATCCCAAAATGACGTTATACAATGAAATAAATATTGCGAAACAGATTTTGACTGAGGTGAATGGTTGTTAAAATTGATAGAGTTATAATTTTAAAAATCAACCCATGTTTATTTTATTTTGTTCTCTTTTCATTTAAATAATGTTTTTTTTATTTTTTAAAATTGTGTTATTTTTACTTGTTTTAATTTAATTTTACTGAAGATACTATATATTCTTTAATATTGACTAATGTAATTTTTGGGCAGATGTAGTTTTTATATTTTTGTTCATATCTGATATTCATAAGGGACCTTGTTCCAGAATAAAGTTTACTTTCTATCTATCTATTTATATATATAATACTTTATATACTATATATTTATATATTCACTATCTATTGTATCTAAACCCAAATACATATATTATAATAAGATATTACATACAACGTAGTGACACTGTTTGTTGAGGAAATCCAAATCCACTACTGCTCTCTTCATTGTGAGAAATTTCTTCAGCCTCTCTGGAAATTGTAATGCACCAAAAACTAATTATAAAGGACACAAGAAAAATAATATTCCACATTTCTTCTCACATTGAGCATAGCCGCAGTAGACAACTATCCTCTTTTAGTAGATAACTTATCTTAAAGCATTAGCTTATCTTCTGGAATTATAATGCCAATGTGAAATGGTGTGATACTCCCAGCTTCCGGTTGCTATCAGATAAACATTCAAGTGGAATTTTAAGATGAAGGTATTAAAGATCAAATAATAATCATTTATAACAATGGTCGCTTTACAAAAATATTTAAAATATTTCAAGAACATAAAATAATATAATAAAGAATAAGAATATAATACTTCTTAATGTCTGGGTGTGACCCGGGAGAATCTAGTGTTCCCTGGGTCAATCCAAGGATGATGTTACAGAATAAATAATTACTTATCACAGCCGGACTTGGATCTTCGACCTAAAACTATCGGGCACAGTGCCTTACTCGTTGAGCTACCCCTGTGATAAACGGTGTGATAAACGTTGTGATAAACGTGTGATAAACAACGTGTGATAAACGTTGATAATAACGTGTGATAAACGTTGTCATCTCTGCATTGGAGCTCGGAATGTATTGCACTGGAGTCTTTCTCGAACTTGAAGAGTTTAGATTGTTAGATCGAGTCTAGCACACAGCATTGTTTTACTAACTCCGTAAATTCCTTCTCTCTACGTACTTTCTCATCATCAGTTCATACCTTACTGATAGAAACTTCAAAGTAAATCACTATAATGCCTATTCACCCCTCTTTTCTCAAGCTGCTGGTGTTCCTGTCTTTCAGTATCGTTTAATAAAACCCCACTTATCTCTGTTGAACAAATCCGATACCTAGGATTCCATCTGAGCAAACGTTTCACTTGTGATCTTCATACGTTTCCATTTATTCTAGCACTTACTAGACAAACGCTTTAAGGTACCAATTAATTACAAAAGACTAATGTATATGACAGTAATACGGCCTATTTACGGAGTTGAGCTTTGTGGCTCCATCAAACCATCATATTTCCCTCGTATCCAATCCTTCGTAAAATTCTCAACGATCCTTACTTTGTCACGAATAAACTAATCCATAAAGACCTTAATGTTCCACATGTTTCCGATTTGTGACAATTCAGAAACCTATCCTTCCCTAACATACTTCATAACCACCCGAGTCCTCGTGTTTCTAACCTTGCTTCCTTTTCGATCCTTGAAAACTCTCGGAGGCGTCTGAAAAGTGATCTAGTGATCTCCTAATTTAGGAATTTCATTGGAGTCCTACCAATGCTCGGTTTCTATAGAAGTGTTCTCATCTCATTGTATTACTATATATCGCATTTACTAGATGTATATATTTTTTATACAATTGTAAATTTCATAAATGAAAAAAAAAAGTATTTTAGGTGAAGAGATAAGATCGAGATTCTTTTGAGCATCCTAAGAGTGTTATCGGGCATGTTGATTGTGTCCCTAATATGAGTTAGAGATTGTATCATCGTGAACGTTATTGTGAAATCTTCAGTAGTGTATTTGAATGTAGTCGTTGACTGTTGACATGCATTGATCTATATGTAAAGTAATGTTACTGACGTATCGTGTACCTTTGGTTCTGGTCTGATATTTTTTTAATGAAAAGTTTGTATTTCACTTATTTTGCTCTTTTTGGTTACATGGCCATATATCTCTGAAGCGCAGGTCCAGCCGAGCTAGTATGTGTTGAGTAAAGTTATAAAAAAAAACAAGATAAACCGATGAAAAAGATCAAAGGTACGCATAACATCCATTCCCGACAAAACTCTGTGGATACACTGCCATTCCACAAGTAATATTACAAAATAAGCACAAAGCCTTATACGTATTTTAGTTTAGTAGTAACATTTATTAAGTATGGAATAACATCTTGTTTGTTCTTCACTAACTGCATGATGATTTAAATAAATTGAAGGAGAAATAAGCTCACTATCGATTAATACAAAATGAAAGGAATACGCTCTCTTGAGGTCGAGTAATGAATGCACTTAGATAGAGTCTAAATTATATTCAGGATATGAATTAGCAATATTTAAGTAATAGAAGAGGTAATTTTAGACAGATAAAGGTTACTAAAATAAAAAAATAAAAACTCCTTTGTTGAGGGGACACGAAGCTATTTCAAGAAGAAAAAATGGAAAAAGAAAAATTAATTGACTCATAAAGGTTCCTGTGGGAAATAGGTTCCTGTTGGAAGAACCCAGGGCAAATCTCGAGGCTGATATGAAAATAATACTTTCCCCAAAATTAAAAGTGCTCCTTCCCCTTTGTTAGAACTCATACAATGGCTTCTTTGTTTTTTCTCTCTTTCTGTGTGTTTATTCTGGCCCGTTTGTGCCCTAGAGTCAGATTGCATTCCTCGCATCCTTTTTCCCGTCGTCTTCAGGACGGAAATAGAAATTCGTATTGAACTTTTCCATCTTCGCAACTCTTTGGTGTTTATTCTTTGAAGAAAATATGGTAAGATTATTCGATAACCTATAAACGAAATTGATCAACTCTTACTTTTTTGAGATATTATTTCAATTGATTGTACAGACTATGATAAGAACATAATGATAGATGTCTCTCTGAATTCTCTTTGAATGATCTAGAAAGAAAAACTTTCTAACGCCACCGAAAAATATACCCAAAAATATTTTTAGAATATTATAAGTTTCTGAAGCTAATTTTTTATTCTTTCAAATACGAGTCTCCACTGAAATAATCGAAGATTCATTACAAAAAAAAAAAAAAAAAAAAGAGATAAATAAATGTTGATCGTATGAGCGATTTTTGTTGAGATGAAAAAAAAAAAAAAAAAAACCGTGACACAGTGGAGCTTAATAATTTTTTTATTGTATGAACCTGTAAAGCAAGTTCACAATTCTTAGCAAGTTTTTAAAAGAAATAAGTATTTAATTACATCATATAAGTAATAATTATTTAAGCTTATCATTATTGTTGATTACTTTAATCGAATAAATTTACTTGTGATTATTTCGGTTAAATAATAAAAATTCAAATACGAATAGGCTTGTTTCTAAGGGCAATATGGAATAAGGATATTCTTCAAATTTTTTAAATTGAAATTTTAGGAAAACCTCTAGAATTATTGATTTATTGAAAATAAAAAATTAAAATATTTGCTGTTCCTAGAAAAAAGTAAAAAATTTATTAGTATTTAAAAAAAACAACTTATTTGTATTTAAAAATTAAATTTTAGGTAACGATTATGTATTTAAAAAAACTTGATTATTAATCTTAATTATAAAATTGGATGAGAGACCTCTTCTCTTAATAAACCATGGTAATTGATTCAAGCCAGGAAAGAGGTACTGGGTGCTATCCTTCCTCATGCCTGACATGTCAGTTTCGCTAATTTAATTATACCATCTTGACAGGTGGAGATAAATACTGAAAATTAAAAAATAAAATAAAAAAAATAAATTGTTACAAAGATTGATTTAAAAATAAAGACTCTTTCCAATGGTTTAGTATTGATTTGCACAAACATACTAACAAATATAAATATACTAACAAAATAATAAGAGAAATGGCTTCAGATGACACCAGCTGATAGAAAGAGGAGACTAGAAAGGCGCTGGATGAGAGACCTCCTTTCTTAACAAACAAATAATACGTACTGTTGGGTGCTATCCTTCCCCATGCAATAATCTTTCCTTTAATAATTTTCATTATTTTCATCATACCATCTGCTGATTGCCATCAGGTTGTCGATAGGTGCAGCAGATTAATATTTGAAACTAAAAAAAATAATTCGAAAAAATAGTATAAGAATTTTCACACTAAAATTTAAAAAAAAAATCTATTATTCTTATATTTTTTGATACGTGCATCATTAATTAATAAAACAAGCCAAGATTAATATTATGAAATATTTTTTTTTTTTTATTATTTCAATGGAATTTACAACTGTATTACATAGAGAATACAAAAAGTAAATGAGAAATTTGTAACATGGCATGTACAACATGAAGAGAAACTACCCATTGGTAGAACTCAAAATATTATGATATATAAATTTATTTTTTGTTCTATATTCACAAAGTAGTAACATTTACAAGTATATAATTTTAAGATAGTTATGAATAAACTAATTTTTTGTTTTTATGCTCAAAAAAATAATAAAATTTACAATATATACAATTATAGTGTTCTAATTACAGTAGTAAACTTTGCTCTGTCTATTTTTTTTATTTAGTGCTTTGCATGATACTCTAAAAAACGATGTAGTAGCTTTATGATAACTAACACATGTGATAAATACTATTGATTGAAATCTATTTGCTATATATCCACCGAAAACACATTGTCATTTGTTTAGTAGAACTTCTGGAATGCGTGTTACCCGTCGAAATTATATCGACTACAGAAAATTTAATAAAAACACGTAAGTTCTTATTTTTATGGCTAAGTAAAAAAAATACCTATATTGACTCACGCAAATCTGTTTCTGAATTCTTTTTGCTATTAAAATTTTGAGTTATTTTAGTCCAAGTGTTTAAAACTGGATCTCAAAAAAAAAAAAAAATATATATATATATATATATATTTATAGCTCATTACAAATAGAATGAAATGCTGAACATTTCCATTGCTTCCACTATGCAAGCTCGAGTTTTAATTGCAGAGATATATCCATATGCAAAAACAATTCAATTAATCGACTCGAGCCGACATTATCCGAGTGAGCGTTACTCTTCCGAGTCTGACGGCTCAGTTTCATTCATTACCTCAAAAAATAAAAGTAAAATTGTGCTGTTTATCTGTGTTTTTTTCTGAATATTTAAAAAATATAACTATTATCACAGCAAACGAATGTTGAAATAAATTGATTGATGTTGTCGAAAGACGACATGTTAAAAAGAAGCACTAAAGAATGAACTGTTCGAAAGATATAAGTTCATATCTGTTTTATGATAACAGGGTCACTGAGTGTCATGTTATATAAAGTCACAAAAAAAAAAAATACAAGATAAAAACTAAGGGAGGGCGAAGAAGAGGAACGAATCGATATAAAATAAAACCTTGAAGAAAAAAAAACAACAAATGAAACAAGTCTAAACAATATAAAAAAGGGACAATAATATTGTAAAG